TTGGTGAGCAAACTCCACTACCATCGCTCAGTAGCAGCAGTATTCTGCAGTGGACTGCAGAAATTCACCCAACAGCCTCAGACAGTATCTTTCAAATGCAAAACCACTTCCATCTAGAAGAAAAAGGGCAGCAGATATACGGGACACCACCACCTTCAAATTTCCCTCTAAGCTACTCCGTACCCTGACTTGGAAATGTATTGCTGTTCCTTCACGGATGTTGGTTCAAAATCTTGTAATTTCCTCTCTAATGGCATTGTAGGTAAACCCAAACAGGTGGACTACAGCGGTTCAAGAAGGCAGCTCACCGCCACCTTCTCAAGGGCAACTAGGGACGGGCAATAAATGCTGGCAAACCAGTGACGCCCATATCCCATAAAAAGAGTTTTTTTTTAAAAATCTGATCCTAATTTCCTTCATCAAATTGGCATTTTCTTTCAGCAGTTTTGTCCAGCACTCAGAGTCCAGCAGTGGGAAAGTGGACCTTCAGATGAATTCATCCAGTATCAGTGGACCTCAGACTGCACTCCATCACTGTCAGCTATTGCCAATGGGTCTCACTCTAGGTCAGGCAAATATGGATTCAAAGCGCGCGTCACACTGTCGGAGGGTCAGTGTTGAGGGCGCACCTCACTGTCAAATGGTTGGGACTGAGAGAGTACCGGACCATTAGAGGGTCAGTACTGCGAGAGTGCCGCTTTGTTGGGAAGTAAAAATTGGCTGCCACTCAGTAATCAGTGATTATATTCCACTTTATGTGATGTCCTGAGTTCTTGTTAGGTACTGCATCAATGAAAGTCATTAGTTTTGACTGGTGAAATTTCCCAGCTCTGCCTGATTTTTCCATGCTTGACAGATGATTCTGGGATCCCCTGCCCCACTGGTATATAGTCCAAAATGTCACTCATTGTCCCTGGCTGCTTTCATTTGACTAACCATCAATTTCTTTCATTTCAGCTATTTATGGGAGGTTGAAGAACCCACAGCCGAAAGCAATTGATCAGGTGATTCACTGTTAGTGCAGCAGACAAGGGGTTTACATAATCTTCCAGGTGGTTAGTCTCACTTGGGACAGGGGCTGTCTATGCCAGACCAAGTCAGGAGGGGGGTCCATTATACCTTTGGAGGAAGGAGGGGGGTCCAGCCCCACCCAGGACAGGGTGGAGGGGGGAGATCCAGTCCCGCCCATGATTTTGGCGGGGGGGAGGTTCCAGTCCCGTCCGCGACAGGGTGAAGTGGTGATCCAGTCCCTCCTGAGACAGGGTGGGAGGTCCAGTCCAGTTAGTGACTGGACAGAACGAGAAGTGGGAAGTGCCTGGGAAGTGGGATAGGATGGTGGTGGGAAGCTGTAAATACTTATTTTTCTTCTCTTTTCCCAGTGGCTCTTGCTGTTTATTGGGATCTAATGTTTGCTGAGATTTTTTGGGCTTGGACTGGCTTCAGCAAGCATGGCAAACCATCAGACGCAGATATATGAGATCTCCCGAGCATTTACACTGGAGTGCAGACTTTGTTTTACTCTGCTTTCAACTTGTATTTAATCTTGAAAAAGGATGCTCAGGTACAGTCGAATACTACTGTCTCCAAGATGCACTGGATCTGAACCCTTCCCATTCTGAGTTTCAACTCAGACATCCCAGCGCTGATGGGTCAGACAAACCTGACGTTCCCTCAGTGCCTGCTGCTTGGGTTTCTGACGCACCTTTCTTCTATATAAGTGACTGCACGTGAGGGTTATTGACACTGTGGGTCTACTTCAGCTGGGGACTGGGATAACTATACGTGTTGCCAACATATAACACTGCATGTTATTACTTGTGGTGGGATTCATAGTAAAATCAGATGTTGCAAAGCACTTTTTGAGTTTCTTTTGTCATAGATTTAGCAGGCGGGCAGCAAGATATGTACAAAACTGCAGAATATACAGCATCAGCTCCTGTGTACACTGTAACAGCGAATATTTACAGGGTTCCCCAGGCTTGTGTCATACTTGGTGATTCCGTGGGCAGATCACAATTACAGGGTGTCCCGCAGGAGTATGTCAATATTTACACAGAGTCCCAGGAGTGCATCAGTGTTTACAGGGAGTCCTCAGGGACTGTTTCAGTATTTGCAGTGAGTCCTTGGGGTTGGGTCAGTTATTACAAGAGGTTCCTCGGGAGTATATCAGAATTCCGAGGGGATCCCTGGGAAATGAGGGATTTCGGAGGGAGCAGTTGTTGTATTTATATGAATTCCTATCACTCAAATCCAATAACTTACATTTATTTAGCACCTGTACTTTGTAAATATTGCAAGGCATTTCACTGGTGAGTAATTGTCTCCAAGTCAATGAAGAGGTGGGGGAGGGGTTGTGTCTACTGTCTACCCCAATTTGAGATTATTGAGTTTGAACTTCGATCAATGCCTGTGCTCTGGTCACCAACCTCCTGCTTGTGTTTGCCTTACACAGCAACTTACTCAATCCCCACTCACTCAGGAAGATCTGTAGCCACTTCATCTGCCATCTCCTGGACAGTACACGACCATCTAACATTCTCACCAGTGCCCACATATGATGATATTGTCAGATTCTGTTCTCCCGTCCCTTCAAAACATCCTTGACCCTTCCACTATTACAAATGTGAGCTCATCTTGATCTTCCCTGTCCTTTCTAATGTCCCTGAGCATGATATCACCTCCCACATATGTGCCCAACTTTCCTGGAACACCGTGGGTTAATCCCTCCGCACAGGTTCCAACCTTGGGTAGCCCCACCTCAGCCATCCTCTGAATTTTCACTGCCACACCATAGGCAGTCATGCTTTCAGTTGCCTGGGCCCCATGTTCCTGGATGTGTATCTCCGCCTCTAGACCTCGCTTCCTAACTGAAGACACATCTTAAGAACAATTTCCTTAATGAAGCTTGTTCATTCACTCAGATATGCCCTTATGTAAAATACTGCTTGATAATCAACCTCTAAGGCACCATAAAGATAGTTTATAGCTAATAGCACATGGGATCCAGGGCAATTTATCAAATTGGATCTAAAATTGGCTTAGTAGCAGGACACAGTGGGTGATGGTCGAAGGATATTTTTGTGGCTGTTTGTCTCTGTCCAGTGGCATACCAAAGGGTTCAGTGCTGGGTCCCTTGTTGTGTGTACCAATGATCTAGAAATGAATATAGGAGGCACAATTTGCAAGTTCACAGAAGACACAAAATTTGGTGGTGCAGCAAGTATCGAGGAGGAAAGCCTTACACTACAGGAAGATACAGATAGGCTAGTCAGATGGGCTGAACAGTGACAAACGGAATTTAATCCTGAAAAGTCTGAGGTGATGTATTTTGGGAGGACTAACAAGGAAAGGGAATACATGATGAACGGTAGGACCCTAGGAAATGTAAAGGGGCCTTTGTGTGCACGTCCATAGATCCTTGAAGGCATTAGGACAGATAGATAAGGTGGTTAAGGAGGCAAATGAGATACCTGCTTTTTTTAGTTGAGGCAGTGAATACAAGAGCAATGAGGTTATGTTGGAGCTGTATATAACATTAGTTGGGCCATAGCTGAAGTACTATATGTGGTTCAGGTCACCACACTATAGGAAGTATATGATTGTACTAGAGAGGGTAAAAAGAAGCTTCACCAGGAGGTTGCCAGGGCTGGAGCGATTCAGCAATAAATCCTTCTCTGCAGCCGTAACTTTACATTCCTCGCTCTGTTCAATTACCCTATGATCTTTGTATATTATGATCCACTTGTACTGCACTTCAAACAAAATTTTCATTGTAGGTAGGTACATGTGACAATAATAAATGAAATAAAATCAAATGCCTCTATTTAAAATGGAGTAAAATATTAACATGAAAATTTATTGGAGAAAGATGCATGGCGAGATGGAGGAATGCCTTGAAGGGCATGGATTTTTCCCAGTTGTCTGAGATTTACCAGGATGTTGCTGGATTTCAGTTATAAGGAGAGGTTGGATAGGCTGGGACTTATTTCACTGGAGGATAGGAGATTGAGGGGTGACCTTAAAGAAGTTTATAAAATCGTGAGGGTTATGTATAGGGTGAATTGCAAAGGTTTTATCCCCAGAGTTGGGGAGTTCAAAACTAGAGGGCATAATTTTAAGGTGACAGGACCTGAGGGGCAACTATTTCACACAGAGGGTGATTCGTATGTGGAACGAACTTCCAAAGAGAGTAGTAGCTGGGTACAGTTACGACACATAAAAGACGTTTGGACAGGTACATAGGAAAGGTTTAGAGGGCTATCGGCCAATGGCAGGTAAATTGACTAGTTTAGTTTGTGGCACTTGGTCAGCACAGACAAATTGGACCAAAGGGTCTGCTTCTGTGTTGTATGCGTCTATAAATGGTAAGAGACTAGATAGACTGGGAAATAGTAGGAACTGCAGATGCTGGAGAATCCGAGACAACAAGGTGCAGAGCTGGAGGAACACAGCAGGGATGCTGCTTGGCCTGCTGTGTTCATCCAGCTCTGCACCTTGTTGTCTTAGATAGACTGGGGCTGTTTTCTTTAGGGCAGAGAAGACTCAAGGGGATCTGATTAAAGTCTACAAAATTATAAGGAGCATAGACAGGGAGAAACCATTCCCCTTAGTTGAGGAGACAGTAAGCAGGGGGCACAGATTTACAATAAGGGACAGGAGGTTTTGAGGGCAAGCGAGGAAAATATTTTTCACCCAGAGAGTGGTGGGTATCTGGAACACACTGCCTGAAATTGTAAAGGCCGAAACCATTATAATATTTGCAAAGTATTCAGATGATCACTTGAAATGCCACAGCATTCAAGGCAACAGGCCTTGTGCTAGGAAATGGGATTAGAATAGATAGGAGCTTGGAGACAGGAGTGGACACGATGGGCCGAAGGGCCTCTTTCTGGGCTGTTAAACTCGACAATGCGAGATACTGTTTCACGCCTTCGATGAAATGTGAATGTTTGGGCAGCAGGAACGATTGTGGGGGGCGGAATATGGAAAAGATCCGTTACCTGAGACTGACTCACGGCCGCCAGCTTCGACGAATCGAACTTTCTAGAGTAACGGAGGGGTTCAGGGCAAACAGGAAGTGCTCCTGCGTCACCAGCGGCGGGGTGAGGGTTATGCTTCCGGCCATTGTTGACATCTGTTTGTGTAAAACAAGTGCTAGGCAACAGGGACACACACACACACACACAGATATACATACTCTCAATTTCTCTCTCTCACACTTAAATATATACAAATATTCAAGCTCATGCATAACCAATCACACTTAATCTCACACACACACTGACACACTCAATCTCACAGACACACACTGACACAATCTCACACACACACATTGACACAATCTCATATAGACACCCAATCTCTCACACACATTGACACACTCAATCTCGCACACACTGACACAACCAGTCTCACATAGACACTTAATATCACACACACAATGACACACTCAATCTCACACACACATTGACACAAATCAGTCTCACATAGACACTCAATCTCACACAGACACTCAATCTCACACTCATATACCCCTCCTGTCTCATCCTTTCAAGTCCATGAGGCTCCCCTTCCTCTGAACTCCTCCCAGGACTGTTTGATTTTACAGATCATCCCGAGGGTACCCTATCGTAATCAAGATCAAAACAACTTGGATGTGAAGAAGGCAACAGCAGAACAGGTGACCACATATTTAAGCATTGCCTTATAGAAAGAAGGACTGCATTTATAAAGTGTCTTTCTTGATCAAATGACACCTAAATCCCCTCCTCACACTTTGGAAGTTGTAAATGCCAGTTTGCACAAAGCAGCCTTCCAGATTGTGATTGTGACCAGATAGTGATTGTGACCAGATAGTCCTCTTGCGGTGAGATTCTCTTGCACTTTCGGTATTTACTTCAGATCTCCAGCGTCCACAGCACTCTGCTCTTTATCTTTTTGGTGATGCTGGTTTAAGGGCAGAGGGAGGGAATTCTGGTGCTTGTTTGGGTGGAGGTGGGATGCCACAGAATCGGAATTGGCAAAATAAAATGAAATTAGAGGACCAAGGAGGATCATAGGTTTTGAATGAATTACTGATTTTTTATTCATTCATGGGATGAGGGCATTGCTGGGCAGCCCAGCATTTATTGCCCATCCCTAATTGCCCAGAGGACAGATAAGAGTCAATCACATTGCTTTGGGTCTGGAGTCACGTGTCAACCAGAACAGGTAAAGATAGCAGAATTTTTTCCCTGAAGGGCATTAGTGAACCAGATGTGTTTTCCGACGATTGACAATGGATTCATGGTCATCATTAGCCTCATAATTCCAGATTATTTTTATTGAATTCAAATTCCACCATCTGCCATAGCAGGATCCAAATCTGGGTCCCCAGAATCCTAGGTCTCTTTATTAATTGTCCACCGATAATACCACTAGGCCAGAAATACTGGAGATACTCAGCAGCTCTGGCAGCGTCTGTGGCAAGAAAAATAGAGTTGATGTTTCAAGGCCAGTGACTTCTGAACTGTTTTAATTTTACTCAGTTAATGATTTCCTCTCTGTATCTTGCATTGACACCCACTGTTCTGAAAAGAACTAGCAAGTCAACAGGGTTAAAACGTCAACAACAGCAACAAACCTATAGTGCCTTTAAATGAATGAAACATCCCAAAGCTATTTCACAGGTGCTTTACAAGACACTCAAAGACACTCAAGACACTTAAGAAATGTCTTAAAGGAACCCATAGAGTTACAGTCTACATTAGCAGTAAATGTGACTATTCCAATGCAGCAAAATAAAACAAAGAACTGTAGGTGCTGGAGATCAGAAACAAAACAAAACAGAAATTGCTGGAGAAACTCAGCAGGTCTGGCATCATCTGTGGAGAGAGAGAAACAGAGTTAACCTTTCATGTCCAGGAATCTTTCTTCACTTTTGGCTGCCCTTCTGCATTCCACATTCCACAAACCTGAGGCCAACCAAAAATCTGTGGCCAGTGTCTGAACTTGCACTAGGGGTCTCATTCACCCTGAGAATTGACTTTGGGCCCGTCAAGGCACTGGTTCCACTGAATCGGTTAGGTCAGCTGGCTGGTTTGTGACATACAGTGATGCCAACCGTGTGGGTCCAATTCATGCAGCAGCTGAAGTTACCATGAAGGGTTCCTCCTCACGCCTGTCCCCTTACCTGAGGTTGTGGTGACCCTCATGTTAAACAACCAACAGTCATCCCTGTCTCTCTCAAATAAGAGAACAGCCTCCTCTGGGACTGTGGTGACTTTACATATTTTATGAGACAATCTTTGACACCAGACCATATTAGAAAATATTACAAAGTTTGTTCCAAGAGGTAGGCTTTAAGGAGTGCAGCACAGTGGCTTAGTGGTTAGCACTACTACCTTACAGCTCTAGGGACCAGGTTCAATTCCACCCTTAGGTAACTATCCACATAGTCTGCACATTATCACTGTGTCTACGTGAGTTTGCTCCAGTTTCCTCCCACAGTCCAAAAATATGTAGTTTAGGTGGATTAGCCACAGTAAATGCAGGATTATGGGGGTGGGTCTTAGTGGGATGCCCTTCAGAGTTTCCGTATGGCCTGTTTCCACACGAGGCTTAGGCAAGTACATTCACAGCTCTGGCTCAGGCAGCTGAAGGCATTAGTGCCTAACTGTGTTTCTTTGTTTTTCTACTTTTTAGTAGGAAGGACTATAATGTTAAAGTCTTTACACTTTGTTTTCCTTATTTTTCTGCTCTGTAACTAAGATTCTGTACCTAGGTACCTTTGTACCTAACATGGTGCTGTAAGTGGCAACTTGTAAACTTTTCACTGTACTCATGTGAGCACATGTGATAATAAAGCTAATTCAGTTCAATGATAGAGGGATTTAAGTTAGGGATATTCAAGGGACCAAAGTTAGAAGAGCATGGAGATCTTGGAGGGTTGTGGGGCTGGACAAGATTTCAGAGCTAGGGAGGAGGCAATTTGAAAAATAGGAATGAGAATTTTAAAATCATGGCTTGACCTGGGGCCAGTGTCAATCCTCAGGATGAATGAGACCTGGTGCGAGTTAGGATACCGGCTAGAGTTTTGGATAGCCTCAGGTTTACAGAGGGTAGAATGTGGGAGAACAGCCAGGAGTGGGTTGGAATCATCAGATCTACTGTGATGAAGACTCTACCTCTCCCGGTTCTTTTTAAATCATTGCTTAAGAATTGTCTCTTTGACAAAACTTCTGGTTGTCTCATCTACTAGCTCCTCATGCATCAAGGTTTGCTTGATAATGTGACTCAGGCCATTTTATTTCCCTAAAGGTGACAAATATAAGTTTTTTGTAAATTAAATCATGGGATGTGGATGTCACTGTCGCTGGCAGAGCCAGCATTTATTGCCCATCTCCAGTTGCCCTGAAGGAGGTGGTGGTGAGCTGCCTTCTTGAACTGTTGTAGTCCATTCGGTGCAGGACGTCCACAATGCAGTTAGGGAGGAAGTTCCAGGATTTTGATCCAGCAACACTGAAGGAACGATTATATATTTCCAAGTCAGGATGGTGTTACACCTCACTGTGGGAGTGTGCTGGAGAATGCCCTGCTATTCCCAGAGTTATCACAAAAGTTAAAGATTTATTAAAAGTGTGCAAAAGTCCCTGATTTCCCTGCCTTTTAGACCCAGGTTGACAACAGATCACAGACCAGGTTTCTGTGCTTCAAAAGATTCACTATTTATTACAATTAAATAGATACACATTTATGAACCATTGACATAGAACTATCATAGAATCCCTACATTGTGGAAGCAGGCCATTTGGCTCAATGAATCTACACTGGCACTCCGATGAATGTCCCATCCAGATCCATCCCCCCTACCCTTTCCCTGCAGCCCTGCATTTCCAATTGCTAATCCACCTAGCCGACACATGCCTAGATACTATGGGCAATTTAGCATGGCCAATCCACTTAATCTGCACATCTTTGGACTGTGGGAGGAAACTGGAACACCCAGAGGAAACTCTCACAGACATGGAGAGAATGTGCAGACTCTACACAGACAGTCGCTCAAGGTTGGAATCAAACCCGGAACCCTGGTACTGTGAGGCTGCAATCCTAACCTTTGAGTCACTATGCTGCCCCAGTTAACTCCACTAGTTAAAACTCTAGCCCCCTTATAAACTCCCCCTAAACACAGATATAGACACACAATTTTTTTAAAAAAGCATTGGTGATATGGGAGGAGGGAATGACAGAGAAGGCAGTTCAATGATCCCTGTCTTCAGGGATCACTTAGATGATCCTTTCGGCTTGTCAGAATGTTGCTCCTTGATCTTTCTGTCCAGCTCTTTTCATTTGTTTGCAAAAGGCACAGGGTGGCTTTGCACAATCATAAAATCACTGAATCACTGATTAATAATCCTACAAAATCTGATGAGGGAAAATGTAACTGGCTTTCTTCAGCCTTATGGTGGTTTTTACTGTAGAGAAAAAAGGACAGCTCCTTCCCTTTTGGAGATCTGATGGCTCCTTCCCAAACATTCACACCCTCAAGCTGTTCAGCTACCTGGGAGCCAATCACATGGATGCTGGCAGGCAGAAGGCCTTTGTCATCAATAACTGGTCACCACACCATAGACCAATCAGCTACTTGTTGCCAGCCGAAACTCCATCTACACAACTCATGGTCCAGTTTGTCTGTAGTTAGACTTCACTCCGACTCCTTGAACAAGTAGCTGTGTGAACAGCACTTAAAATGAGCATCAGGTAACTTGCTTTTAAAAAATGCAGCAATCCTTAACCAATCTTAGTTTTTAAAAGATTCTTTTTCCCATTTCAGTCCACAATCAAACTTACAGAAAATTAAAATGGTGATGGCTTGGAAGGGAATTTGCAGGTGGTGTGTTTCTGTGTATCTGCTGCCTCTCTAGAAAGCTGTGGTCGTGAGCTTCAAAAATGCTGTCTCAGGAGCCTTCGTGAGATGCGTGCATCTTGTAGATAGTAACACTACCGTGACTGAGCTTCAGTGGTAGAGGGAGTGGACGTATATGGATAGGGTGCTAATCTAATTAGTTCAGTGCTTGGAGGCGAACAGGTGAAACTATTTCTTATATCTC